GGGTCCGTCACTCCATGTGGAGGCCCCTCAAGGAAGGTTCCTTGATGTTGGTGAGGGGCTCTTGATTTAGGGAATTGGATCTGTGCTCCAGTTCCCCGAATTAAGCCTGAATGCCTTCCACATATCCCCCCCCCCAGGCGCTGTATAATCCTCCGGGTTTAGCGCTTCCCCCTTGATTATAATAATAATAATCCATGTGGAGGGCAGCAGCTGCTTACTGGGGTCCGTCACTCCATGTGGAGGGCAGCAGCTGCTTACTGGGGTCCGTCACTCCATGTGGAGGGCAGCAGCTGCTTACTGGAGTCCGTCACTCCATGTGGAGGGCAGCAGCTGCTTACTGGAGTCCGTCACTCCATGTGGAGGGCAGCAGCTGCTTACTGGGGTCCCTCACTCCATGTGGAGGGCAGCAGCTGCTTACTGGGGTCCGTCACTCCATGTGGAGGGCAGCAGCTGCTTACTGGAGTCCGTCACTCCATGTGGAGGGCAGCAGCTGCTTACTGGAGTCCGTCACTCCATGTGGAGGGCAGCAGCTGCTTACTGGAGTCCGTCACTCCATGTGGAGGGCAGCAGCTGCTTACTGGAGTCCGTCACTCCATGTGGAGGGCAGCAGCTGCTTACTGGAGTCCGTCACTCCATGTGGAGGGCAGCAGCTGCTTACTGGAGTCCGTCACTCCATGTGGAGGGCAGCAGCTGCTTACTGGAGTCTGTCACTCCATGTGGAGGGCAGCAGCTGCTTACTGGAGTCTGTCACTCCATGTGGAGGGCAGCAGCTGCTTACTGGAGTCCGTCCACTCCATGTGGAGGGCAGCAGCTGCTTACTGGAGTCTGTCACTCCATGTGGAGGGCAGCAGCTGCTTACTGGAGTCTGCCACTCCATGTGGAGGGCAGCAGCTGCTTACTGGGGTCTGCCACTCCATGTGGAGGGCAGCAGCTGCTTACTGGGGTCTGCCACTCCATGTGGAGGGCAGCAGCTGCTTACTGGGGTCCGTCACTCCATGTGGAGGGCAGCAGCTGCTTACTGGGGTCTGCCACTCCATGTGGAGGGCAGCAGCTGCTTACTGGGGTCTGCCACTCCATGTGGAGGGCAGCAGCTGCTTACTGGGGTCTGCCACTCCATGTGGAGGGCAGCAGCTGCTTACTGGGGTCCGTCACTCCATGTGGAGGGCAGCAGCTGCTTACTGGGGTCTGGCCACTCCATGTGGAGGGCAGCAGCTGCTTACTGGGGTCTGCCACTCCATGTGGAGGGCAGCAGCTGCTTACTGGAGTTATGATGATTAAAATAGGCGGCGAAAATGTGGGTTATAGACAGGTCACTTTATCCAAACCAGGTTGAATTTTTGTTTTTTTGCTTATATTAATGTATTTTTTTGCTTGTATTGTGTATTTTTTTTCCCCTCAAGGAAGGTTCCTTGATGTTGGTGAGGGGCTCTTGATTTAGGGAATTGGATCTGTGCTCCAGTTCCCTGAATTAAGCCTGAATGCCTTCCACATCCCCACCCAGGCGCTGTATAATCCTCCGGGTTTAGCGCTTCCCCCTTGATTATAACAATAATAATGGGTATATTTTTGCTTTTACAGTATTAATGTTTTTTTTATTTATATTAATTGCCTTCCATAATTGATTCATTCTCTCTGTCTGTCTCTGTCTGTCTCTCTCTGTCTCTGTCTCTCTCTGTCTCTGTCTCTCTCTGTCTCTGTCTCTGTCTCTGTCTGTCTCTGTCTCTGTCTCTGTCTCTGTCTCTTCTGTCTCTGTCTGTCCTCTCTGTCTCTCCTCTCTCTCTCTCTCACTCTCTCTTCACCTCATCTCACTCACTCTCACATCTTTCTTCCCCAGACACATAACCACTATAACCCACATCTCACATCCCATCTTGATTCTTATCAATATAATTATTCAAGTTATCTCCGCACGTCTCTCATGGCGGAGGTTGAATTCTTTCATCATTGTCACGTACGTAGTTCTACATCAGTGATGCTAGTCTTGCATATGCAGTAGAATCCCCGTATCCGCAGATTCCATTAACGTTGTTTCGGTTGTGATGATATTGGTTGGTTTCCGATTGGAATTTGCTTGAAATAGATCCCAAAGTGGCGGAAATACAGTGGACCCCCGCTTAACGATTACCTCCAAATGCGACCAATTATGTAAGTGTATTTATGTAAGTGCGTTTGTACGTGTATGTTTGGGGGTCTGAAATGGACTAATCTACTTCACAATATTCCTTATGGGAAAAAATTCGGTTAGTACTGGCACCTGAACATACTACTGGAATGAAAAAAGTTCGTTAACCGGGGGTCCACTGTATTCAAATTTTAGCGACTTTCTCAAGGAAGGTTAAAGGCCCCTCCCTCACCTCCCTCCAGTTTGTTTTAGGTTTTTTTTTACTAGGCCTACTTCAATTATTGGGACAGCCTAAACCACAACCAATTATTCCTGGTTATACAGTGGTACCTCAAGTTTCGAACAGCTCCCAACTTGAACAATTATGTAAGTGTATTTTTGTAAGTGCTTTTGTAAGTGTAATTCTGGGGGTCTGATATGGACTAATCTAATTTACATTATTCCTTACAGGAACAAATTCGATCGGTATCGGCACTCGAGCAGCTTTCTGAAATGAATTAAGTTCGTAACTTGAGGTACTACTGTACTTTATTACCAAAGAACCAGGGTAAAGCTTCCATTGTTTGTGTGATGATGTTTGTGGAGCATAGATCCAATTCCCTAGATCAAGAGCCCCTGACCAACATCAAGGAACCTCCCTTGAGAGGAGTCACCCCTCAAGGTGACATCAACAATCTTATCACAAAAGCTTTTTCCTCATCTAACCTCACAAGTTCCCTGATGCTAGTGAGGTGCTCTTGATCCATGGAGTTGGACTTGTCCTTCAGTATCTTTGATCGAACCTGATTGCCTCCCTTTTCCCAGGCACTGTATGAGTCTTACGTGTTTAGCACTTTCCCTATATATAGAGTAATAATTTTCTTCAAGCAGCAAAATATTACAGCTGCATTCCCTTTAATAAAATGGGATAAAATCCCAATAGTTATAACTTTCAGGAAGCCCTAAACTTGTAGGGATCGTACAATGTGAGGAGATTATTATTATTATTATAATCAAGGGGGAAGCGCTAAACCCGGAGGATTATACAGCGCCTGGGGGGGGGGATGTGGAAGGCATTCAGGCTTAATTCGGGTAACTGGAGCACAGATCCAATTCCCTAAATCAAGAGCCCCTCACCAACATCAAGGAACCTTCCTTGAGGGGTTTGTGTGGGGAATGGGAAGCGGGTAGATATACTGATCGACTCATTTCCATCACAACCAATAATCCGCTGAATAATCGTAAAATTCAAACTCCACAACCAACCCTTCAAGGGAGCTATAGTATGACCAATACAGGTTTAATGCTTTAAAATAATATCAAAGGGAGTTTCTTGATGCTGGTAGGTTGTCTTGATCCCAAAGAATTGAGCAGTTCTCTCCTTTAAATGTTTATAGGGAGGCTCTAACTCTATACGGGTCATATAGCACCTGGGGAATGGGGGTGCAAACACATTTGATCCAAGGAAGTAGAGTAGCTCCAGCTCCCTAGATCACAAGCCAGTTGAAATAAGTTACTTTGCCTGACATTTCTGGGATTATCCTAGGTTAGGTAAGGTTTGTCAGGAAATAGACAAGTGTTTCCTGATGTGGGTCTTAGTCAGATGGTGACCCACTGTTGGAGCTTCTGGTCATCTGACCGAGGCCTTCCGCTGGCTTACCTGTCCATCCCTTTAAAAATTATGGTCATAGTTATAACCATTTCTGGGATTATCCTGGTGGGTAATTTACACACATTACTATGTACGATAATTTGTGTAACTGCATGTGTACCTGTACGTAAATACACTTACTTATCAAGGTACTTGTTGAAGGACCTTGTGTAGTTAAAACCCAGATACACTAAGTCTTGGTTCCCCACCTTTTGTAGATTATTGCAGCCATTATTGCTATTGAATGATGGTAACATGGCCACAAACTGTGGAAAAAGATACTTGTGTATTTTTGTCTTTGATATACCTTTGATGGGTTCCAAGATTATTATAATCATGGGGGAGCGCTAAACCCATAGGATTATACAATGCATGTGGGGGGATGGAAGGTATTCAGACTCAATTCACTGAACCGGAGCACAGATCCAATTACCTAGATCAAGAGCCCCTCACCAGCATCAAGGAACCTCCCTTGAGGGAATGGGTTCCAAGAGTTTACCTCCTGTCACAGCCCAGCCCTGGACCAGCCTTGTCTGGTCCAGTTCAGGACGTTTTTTATTATTAAGGATGCAAGAGAGCAATTTAACACTTGCATAGTCAACTAAGAGGTAATTTAGGAACTGGCAGAGTATCAAATTATTAATTTAAATTTTCGTTTTTTCAGATATACAGACCTAAATTGTGGAATTCACAATGCCCTGACTGAAGTGATGACCTTGTAGTACCTCTCTCCCTCCCAGCAGACTGGTACCTCTCGACCCTGAACCATCTCTGGTACCTGCTTCCCTCCCAGCTGAATGGTACCTCTCAACCCTGAGCCAACAGTAGTACCTCCCCTCTCCAGCTGACTGTAAACTAGCCCAGGAACACTACAAGAGAAAACACCAAAAGAGTCGTGGAAGTAGGCAAGTGATGTTGCCCCTAGATCATCATGGGATGTGAACTAGTAACAGTTGACCCTTGTCAGTGTAGCGCTGTACTTATAATAATTACTTGTAACAGTCATACAGCACCTGGATTTGACCCGAGGAAAGGGTAGTTCTGGTTCCTTGGATCAAGAGCCTTTAGCCTGTGCACACAAAACCTATTGGGCTCTTAATTTTATTCTCTATCCTCGTCATACTGTGTGACCCTTTCAGGTTTTGGCACCTTGGATCAAATGGTTTACCCAACACTGTACTTTTAACATGCTAAAAGAAATATAGTCTCTTGTGAAAAAAATTAATTTAAATGCTTAAGTAAAACAAATTCTCCAATGTTTTCTGTATAATTTAATAACACATTTATCAGTTGAAACAATATATACACATTAATGGATACAATTTGTATACAGTACCATAATATCCAAACCAAGAATTGTCAGGGTAGATCCAATTCCTTGGATCAAGAGCCCTTCCCCAGCATAAAAACACCTCCCTCAAAGGGTCAGACCTCAACAAAACTAGAATGAAATGGTGATATAATCAAGCAAGAATACATGCAATTTGTCAAAATATCAGAATGCTCTCAACTTAAAGGTTCTCATATTTTACGAAGTTTAATATTTGTACATAACTGTATATATTTTTATAGTACATCATACAGTACTGTTTATTACAAGTCCATATTTAATATTCCATATACCTGACTAGGTGTCATTTTAAAGAAAACTTTCAACTAATTACAAATCTCTCAAGGTAATTTTTGGCTTTGAATACACAAATGTCACTTCATGTGTGTGTGTGTTTGTGTGTAGATACAGTAGTGGTTGTATGTTTGTGTGTAGATACAGTAGTGGTTGTATGTTTGTGTGTAGATACAGTAGTGGTTGTATGTTTGTGTGTAGATACAGTAGTGGTTGTATGTTTGTGTGTAGATACAGTAGTGGTTGTATGTTTGTGTATAGATACAGTAGTGGTTGTATGTTTGTGTGTAGATACAGTAGTGGTTGTATGTTTGTGTGTAGATACAGTAGTGGTTGTATGTTTGTGTTAGATACAGTAGTGGTTATGTTTGTGTATAGATACAGTAGTGGTTTATATTTGTGTGTAGATACAGTAGTGGTTGTATGTTTGTGTGTAGATACAGTAGTGGTTGTATGTTTGTGTATAGATACAGTAGTGGTTGTATGTTTGTGTGTAGATACAGTAGTGGTTGAATGTTTGTGTGTAGATACAGTAGTGGTTGTATGTTTGTGTATAGATACAGTAGTGGTTGTATGTTTGTGTATAGATACAGTAGTGGTTGTATATTTGTGTGTAGATACAGTAGTGGTTGTATGTTTGTGTGTAGATACAGTAGTGGTTATGTTTGTGTGTAGATACAGTAGTGGTTGTATGTGTGTGTAGATACAGTAGTGGTTGTATGTTTGTGTGTAGATACAGTAGTGGTTGTATGTTTGTGTGTAATACAGTAGTGGTTGTATGTTTGTGTGTAGATACAGTAGTGGTTGTATGTTTGTGTGTAGATACAGTAGTGGTTGTATGTTTGTGTGTAGATACAGTAGTGGTTGTATGTTTGTGTGTAGATACAGTAGTGGTTGTATGTTTGTGTGTAGATACAGTAGTGGTTGTATGTTTGTGTATATCACAGTAAATCTCCAGTATTTATAGAGCTACTTCACTATAGCTTATACTTCACTATAGCTCATTGTGTAGTGTACTCGACTCTAAAGTCTTCTTTGAGTTACTCTTTGATTGTATTATGTATTGTAGAGATTTTAACAAGTCACTTTCTATTAGCAATTTGTTGCTATTTGAAGGCACTAGTTTCTGCACTTGATTAAGGTGATTTAGTTTTACTCTCTGTGTCTTTATATCTCTAACAAGCAAATGTTTTGTATGGACTAAAATTTGGTAATGATTTTCCCAGTGAGGTATTTCATGGGGTGTCTCTTTCAGTTTTACGAGGCGATGCAACACGTCCTGGAGTTTGGTGGTGGTGACTGTCATCAGATGGTGAAGCTGCGTAGTGGCGACTGCAGCTGCCTGCACTACTTGTTCATGGCAGTCATCTCGACAGGTGGAGAGGGCTAAGCTGAGACGGTGACTTGGGTCAAGATTTGACACTAAGAAGGACATCAGGTTGGCAGGGGTCAGTGGAAGAGTTGAATCAAACACACTGCTATCACTCTTCCTGAAAACAGACATGTATACATTATCAAGGAGGATATGTTGAACCCATAAAGTCATGTTAAACACTGAGTATATAAGATAATTAGATAAGATCTGAGGAAGAGTAGCATTAATTCCTTGGATCACCAATAACAAGCCACCCCTTCCCCCATCCCACCCTCCTCAAGTAACATTTTTGAGATGCCAGAGCTGTATAGTCCTTGTGGCTTAGCGCTTCTTTTTGATTATAATAATAATAATGAGATGCCAGACAGAAATAATACTCTTAAAAATGCTTTTTTATATACATGTACAGGTAAGATACAAAGGCACACTGAAAACAGTAATAAAGACAAGACAAGTGCAGGGTTATGACACTGGCTGCAGGACAAACTTTTGAGCAATGAAACATGGCCGCAGATAGTCAAAACCTGATAATTACATTCAGTGGAGGAAAACTAAACCTGTAGGGGTCATGCAGTGCCTAGGGAAATGGAAGTCAGGGTAATTCTAAAGAAAGGAAATCAGGTGAGATTCCTTGGATCAAGAGCCCATCACTACCTTTTGAGGAATCTCAATTGAAAACAATTAGCTGGAAAACATGAGGTTTTCAAGGGAATATTTGATCTTAAAATGCCTGATAAGGCATGTTGTGATGGCTGTGTAGGCCTGCTGGTAGCAACTTATATACTGGCGTCAGGTGGTGAGAGACGTGCAGTAGACCAAGACAGTGTCACTGGAAAGCGGGATTCCCCAGTGGAAGTAGGTCATACCCGAGGGACGGGTCAGTAGTAACAAAGAAGGTTGTGGAGATACCCTCTGAACCAAGATTCTTGTTCAGAGGACATCTCCACAAACTTCTTTGCTACTAATGACCCATCCCTTGGGTATGACCTACTTCTACTGGGGAATCCTGCCTTCCAGTGACACTGTCATGGTCTGCTACACATCCCTCACCATCTGATGCCAGTATATAAATGCCAGCTAACTTTGCCTATACTTCAAACTCTTCAAGACTACGATGGTCTTCACCAACTCCAAGGCTGAGGACAGACTGCCTCTTCTTTTGTATATACTTCTACTGTCTTCCAGTTACGTATGTCCTTAAATTTGTATTGATAGTCACTGGTTGGTGAAACGTCTACAGTAAAGATACCCAGATGTTGCACATGTGTCTAATTTTCATCTTATCAGTATTATATACCATTCATGTACTGCAACAACTTTTGTTGCTCAGGTAGTCAATAAGAAAGTCTAACCTCAAGTTGGGCCACAAAGTTTAGAAATTTCTAAGCTGGTTATAGGTAAGGTGTTATAATCATGGAGGAGCAGTAAACCTGTAAGGGTTGTACAGCACCTGGAGAATGGGAGGTAATCAGGTTTGATCCAAGGAAAGTCATGGCAACTACAATGCCTTAGATCAAGAGCTCTTCACCAGCAACAAGAATAGATAATAAAGGCAACTGTCTTGATGTAACAAACTGTTGATGGAAGCACTGTCACTCTTCCCTTCCTTGGATCAAACAAGATACAGTGGACCCCCGCATAATGATCAGCTCCCAACTCAACCAATTATGTAAGTGTATTTTTGTAAGTGCTTTTGTAGGTGTATTTTTAGGGGTCTGAAACGGACTAATCTAATTCACAATATTTCTTATGGGAACAAATTCGGTCTATAACGGCACCCAAACAGACTTCTGGATTGAAATAATATCATTATGCGGGGGTCCACTGTATATATTTTCCAACCCACAGGTTCTGTATGACCCCCGTAATCATAATCATAATCACAGGGGAGCACTACACTTATATCATACATTGCCTGGAAAGGCAGGGAGAATAATCAAGTGTAATTCGAGAACATAGTTCTAATTCCTTGAACTAAAAACCTGTCACCATCATCAAGGCAACCTCCTTGAAGGGTTGTATTTAATACAGGAGGATCAAGAGCCTCTCACTGGCATAAAGGTACCTCAAATCTATTAAATAATTATGAGTCACAGAAATTGTTCATGAATGGAATGGACGGGCAGATTGTACTTATCTAGAATTTTAAAGTAGAGTTTTCATAGTTCCCATGAGAGACTAATTTGAAAACTTCCAAACCAAAGTGGAATAAAAGGTAAATTGTTAAAATTGACAACTGTCTATTCAAGAGAAAAGTGCAGTAATAGGACAAAATGTCAAACCTCAGTGATATGAATTTAGCTTCAATAATGATAATTTATCCGTTTATGAAATAATTTAGGTTTGAGTAAATAGATGATGGGATTTAATGTAGATTAGAAATGGACATACACTGCCTGCATTCTAAAGTAGGGTTGGCAATATTTGCAGTTTTGGAGGGACATCTAAACTGTCATATCTGCACACCTCTGACAAGACAAGTGTGTGAAGGTATTTCTTTTTCGGGTCACCTTGCCTTGGTGGGAGGCAGCCAGTGTTAAAACAAAAAATAGAAGTCAAAGAGAATGAAATCAGGCCACATGAAGGATACAGACTATCATAAAAACATTAAGTCAGAAAAAGAGATCTTGGCTCATATATAATGAGGTTATGAGAAACTCATATGCTACACTGGAAAATTATGAAATATCTTTTAAATGTTAAAATGTTTAACAAGCTGTTTATAACATATCTAAGGCCAACATTAGAATATGCAGAAATGATCTGGTGCTCACACCTTCAAAAACGTGGATAGTTCAAAAAAGATCCAAAGAAAAGCTACAAGATGGTTTTTTTTTTTTTTCAACAAGTCGGTCGTCTCCCACCGAGGCAGGGTGACCCAAAAAAGAAAGAAAATCCCCAAAAAGAAAATACTTTCATCATCACTCAACACTTTCACCACACTCACACATTCTCACTGTTTTTGCAGAGGTGCTCAGAACACAACAGTTTAGAAGCATATACGTATAAAGATACACAACATATCCCTCCAAACTGCCAGTTTTAAATATAAGAGTCACAATGATAGGCTGAAAACACTAAAGATGGCCAGGCTGGCAGGCTCTTATATGACCTGATGTAAGGTCATATAACATGAAAGATTAGATGGACTTTTCTGTATGTGAAACAGGATCAACAAGAACACAGTTGTGAATTGGGAAAAAAAAGTTAAAGGGGTTCTGGGAAATTTTTCTTTGCAAACAGTGACTGATCAATGGAATAAATTAGTTGATAATGCTTCAAACACAGGAAAATTTTAAAAAATTATGATGAACAAACTATATAAGACAGGACACCACAATCATGGCTCTGATTCGGTAGCTACAAAACAGATAATTACCTAGTGTGGTACAACTCACCTATAGTGTGGATGAACAATGATGGATGGTAGAGTTTGGAAGTAGAGGTTCCAAGGCAATGTATTGGTCAATATATTAATACGTGCAAATGTTATATTTGGGATGTGGCGAGCCATGTGTGCCACTGTCATGAACACATGTCCAACAGTTGTACATGCAGCACAGTTGCTGCTGTAGTGAAGTACGACAACCATCTGCAATATTAAAAAGCCTGTTAAAAAGTTTACCAGTTATATTCACTGAGGCTTCCAGGAAGATGCCTTCATGCAGGTGAAGGGTTCATGATGCAGACGATATGAGTAACTCTTCACTGTCTTTAGATCAAACTTAATTACAGTGGACCCCCGCATAACGATTACCTCCAAATGCGACCAATTATGTAAGTGTATTTATGTAAGTGCGTTTGTACGTGTATGTTTGGGGGTCTGAAATGGACTAATCTACTTCACAATATTCCTTATGGGAATAAATTCGGTCAGTACTGGCACCTGAACATACTTATTGAGTGAAAAAATATCGTTAACCGGGGGTCCACTGTACCTCTCATCCTCAGGCACTGTATGACTATCAGTATAGATCTTCCCATAAAAGAAACAACTTTCTAGTTACAATGAAACAATAAACCAGTAGGGGAATGTGTGGTGGCAAGGTTTACTCTACAAGAAGGGTAGCTTCAATTCCCTGAATCAAAAGCCACTGATTAGTATTAAGGGATCCCCTTTAAAATATCCAAATAGAATATCAAAGATTGCTTCAAATACAACATAATATTTGATTGAATATCCTCAATAAAATGTGGCTACACTCTTGATTTATTTATGCATCCTTTAAAAAGATAGTTTTAATACAAATAAAAGTTTAACCCCACCTTTCCCATTTCCTGTGTGAATTTAAGGTAATTTTCCGATGTCAATTCCTGGATGCAGATCTGGGAAGGTTTACATCTGTTTGTGTCCACGTGTCCAGTCACCAGGATTCTAGAAAACAACACCATTAGTGTAGTTAGTTTTGGGGTTATTCTAGACAATAATGAAATTAGCAACACATACAACTATAGTAGTCCCTGGAGTTACAACATTAATTCGTTCCAGAAAATGTATCGTACCTCAAAACTATTTTAACTCAAGAGCCCAAAATACATGGTTTTGTGGTAAGTTGTTGCAAGATCCCAGAGTGCAACTTTTACTGTATAGCTTGAATCTTCATGCTCACATATATAACTTGCAGTCACTATCTCCCTTCACCTGCTTCCCTCTTATCTACAACGATAAGTCTTTCCATCTCTATTTTTTCCCTGCTTTTTCTCGCTGTTAGATTCATCAACTGCTTTCATAATGTCTTTTTTATAATAGTAAAGATGGTTGATTGTGGAAAGTCATACCTGCACAAGAATGCACTAATTCTAATTATTGCATCATTCTTCTTCACAATTTGTTTGATCTTCAGAGAAACTGCCTGTTTATTGTGCACTTCAGGGGTCATAATGACTTTGTAATTACCTGGAGTTTACCTGGAGAGAGTTCCGGGGGTCAACGCCCCTGCAGCCTGGTCTGTGACCAGGCCTCCTGGTCAGAGAATGTCATAATTAAATCACATATGCATATCGTATCTCAAGTTTTTCGTCACAACTCAAAATAAATTCCTTTATAAGGGCAAATTGTAACTCAAGGGTTTATTGCATAAATATAATCAATTTAAATACTAACTCCACATGGGTTTTGCATCATTACAAAATAACCCAAATATAAATGATACACTTCACTTGAGACTACACACATGAAAAGATGTGGGAAAAACACTTAGGTACACTTCAAGACACTTATTAAAAATTAAGCATGAATACCTTCCATCCCCCCCCCCCCTGTTTACCTGGAGTTTACCTGGAGAGAGTTTCGGGGGTCAACGCCCCGCGGCCCGGTCTGTGACCAGGCCTCCTGGTGGATCAGCCCCTGATCAACCAGGCTGTTGCTGCTGGCTGCACGCAAACCAACGTACGAGCCACAGCCCGGCTGATCAGGAACTGACTGTTCCTACAAGCACTGTATAATTTCAATGGGTTTAGCACTCCCCCATGATTATAATAATTGTTCAGTCCTCCAGACTGGTCAAGATACTTGCGGAAAAATGTTTTCTTAATCCTGAGCTCTGCACAAGTCTTTTTCCACATATTTACTTTTATACATGAAAATAGAATTGAAGCCTATAAGGTAAAGCAGACAACTGTGTCAAGTGCTGGAAACAAGATGGTAACCTTGCAAGTCCACCAGAATATCAGCCTAGCCACAGTGTGGTAAAGATGTCTAAGGTGGCTCCAACAGTCACTCAATCAGTTTTATAGATCCTCATGCAACATAGGCTTTCCTGATACACAATTATTTACAAAGCAGAGATAAGTGAGAAACCAATGTGACAGAAAAGTGACACACAGGTAATAAGATCTATACATATCAGCCTCATTCAAGAGATATTCTTCATCTGGTGAAGAGGACCTCTAAGACCCTTACCTATGTGTAGCTATGGGAGCAGAGTTAAGCTTGTGGTGTTGGATCTGCAGTCCTTGTTGCTACAGCAGCTATAGCACAACAGTGGTAAAGGGAAAAGAGGTGCTGCAGTATGAAAAAGAACATGTCTGGCATATGCATCCCTACTCTGCAGTCTCGGCAAGACCACTTCCTGATGATGGGCAGGATTAATGGAGTCATGGTGGACCCTTCAAGGGAATGGGAAAATAATATTGATACAATCAGAACTAAGCGTTAAAACCACAAGGGTCATAGTGTGGGGATGGCATGTGATGCTAGTAAAGGGCTCTTGATCTAAAGAATTAGAGCCACCCTCCCCTTCTATAGGTCAAACCAAATTGCTCTCCATTCTCCTACAGATTTAGTGGCTCCCCATGAATATAATACAGTGGTACCTCGGGATACGAACAGCTCAAAACTCGAACAATTATGTAAGTGTATTTATGAAAGTTCTTTTGTAAGTGTATTTTTGGGGGTATGAAACGGATTAATCTAATTTACATTAATCCTTATGGGAACAAATTCGTTCCGTATTGGCACTCGAACAGTCTTCTGGAACGAATTAATTCATATCGCAAGGTACCACTGTACTTGCTATTCTGAGGATTCAGCTTTTCCCTGTGAAAATAGTACAATCATACCTCTTTAATACAGCGCTTACTTTTGAGTGCTTCGCTAATAAGGCACTCTCCAATTATATTCATTCATGATTTTCAACACTTGCTTAGCTCTTAAGATGGTTTTTGGCAATTTAATTTTTTTTTATTATTAGAGCGATTGTTCATTTAATAATGTTAGTGTAAATATGTTTTGAAGCTTTTATATCACTGGTAAGTGAAAAAAGGATGTGATTCTCTTTCAGGCAATACCTACTTTATGGTGACAGTCTGGACCCTGACCCGCCATATTAGTGAGGTATGACTGTATACCATATAATATATAATGATAATAATTTTACCTATCAAGCAGACCATGCGTGTAATTAATGATGAAGTTAGCTAATGTTAACTTAGATAAACTAGCATCCATGATGAAATGAGCTTCTCTTGCAACATCTACAATGACAGCTGCTGTCTTCTGAGGCTCTCTGGTAGTCAGGTTAACTCCCAGTTTCTCCGCTACATCTCCGTGACGTAAGGAGTCCACAGCAACAAAGGTTAAAGTCTTGTTAGTCTTGCATCCCAAGCCTGCAATACAAGAAATTCTTTTAAAATTTTACCAAGTGCCACTTCCCTTGCATACTTTTTTATATACAGCAATCTCTGTACAAAGAGAAATTCAGGAAAACCTCTCAGCCAGACTTGAGTTCTGGAGGCGGAAAGGACATTACAGTTCTGGCGGCGGAAAGGATGTTACAGTTCTGGAGGCGGGAAAGATGTTACAGTTCTGGAGGTGAAAAGTACAGTGCCTGTACTCTGAAGGTTGAGTGAGGACATTACAGTTCTGGAGGTGGGAAGGATGTTACAGTTCTGGAGGTGAAAAGCACAGTGCCTGTACTCTGAAGGTTGAGTGAGGACATTACAGTTCTGGAGGTGGGAAGGATGTTACAGTTCTGGAGGTGGGAAGTAGAGTGCCTACACTCCTGAGAAGGTTATAGTTCAGAGGGTCATCTTAACTGGAATGTCAGCACATTGTGACAAGACAATGATAAAATGAATGACAGTGAACATATACTCTTTCTTTTTCTGGATCACTTTACATCAGGAGATGCCCAGCATGTTAAAAAAGAAATCTACAATATACAAATAACCCTCACATATCAGACTGAAATTTATGACGACATTTCGGTGTGACTTAGACCATTAACTAGGTTCATAAGGGTTCACTGTACACAACTATGGTTTTCAGTGTCCCTTTTTTGCCAATTACTCCATATTTTTAATATAAATTCACTCATATACAATCAACGAGGTTTGCAAAACATGAAGAAATTCTTGTAATGAAGAAATATTAACCAAATTCAGATTACAACAGATGCCATGGGCCAGGAATACATTATAGAATAAAGCAAGAACAAATATGATTTTCTATCTCCATGCACAGCAAATATAATTAAATAAAAAAATACTGTATATTACAAATAACCCTCATCAGCAATAGGAACACCAACATAAAAAATAAACACTGGAGAACATGGTCATTGCAAACATCCCACGAGTTAGAAGTCAATTCTACCCACCCGTGATATCAGGAGCTGGGTGCTGATCTTTTACGAATGAATGAGGAGCAACGAGAGATCCATGAAAGAGTCTTTTACACTGGTCCTCAGCAGCCAGGGCAACGAGCTTTTCTATACGATCATCTGGGTGTCCACTCCCAACCTGTTTAAGATGAGACTTATCATTATAAATTGTAATACAATACTGTTAACTAAAGTTTAATAAACACCTGTCAGTGCTCAATAATAACCCACACAAAGACAGAAACTCAGAAGATTAATTAGTCTGCATATTTTGATCCACTTCTGGTATCTTCTTCAGCAGATGACGATCCCAGAAGGGGGTGGAAATATACAGGTCAATTAATCTTCCGAGTTTGTCTACATGTGGGTTATTATTGACCACAATACTGTATAATTACATCAGGATGAAAAAAAAACATTCACTATTTTTCAATCACTGTCTTGCCAAAAGTGTGCCGACATCACAGTTCAGATGACCCTCTGAACTGTAACATCCTCACTCATCCTTCAGAGTGCAGGTACTGTACTTCCCACCTCCATGACTCAAGTCTGGACACAACTACAGCATCATCTTCTTTCTTTCAACACACCGGCCGTATCCCACCGAGGCGGGGTGGCCCAAAAGGAAAAACGAAAGTTTCTCCTTTTACATTTAGTAATATATATACAGGAGAAGAGGTTACTAGCCCCTTGCTTCCGGCATTTCAGTCACCTCTTACAACACGCATGGCTTATGGAGGAAGAATTCTGTTCCACTTCCCCGTGGAGGTAAGAAAAAATAAATAAGAACAAGAACTAGTAAGAAAATAGAAGAAAACCCAGAGGGGTGTGTATATATATGCTTGTACATGTATGTGTAGTGTGATCTAAGTGTAAGTAGAAGTAGCAAAACGTACCTGAAACCTTGCATGTTTACGAGACAGAAAAATGGACACCAGCAATCCTACCATCATGTAAAACAATCACAGGCTTTCGTTTTACACTCACTTGGCAGGACGGTAGTACCTACCTGGGTGGTTGCTGTCTACCAACCTACTACCTATAACAACTACAGCATACCACCATATAAAAAACACAGTGCTACATTGTATCGGAAAACAATTCTCCATAAATAAAAACACTGTGCTGTGTATCAATTCCAACAACTAATTACTTACATCAAATGCTTCCTTCTTCTCGGGTGTATGTGGGATGTATGAAGATTTTGCCTTGGCAAGGGTGTTATTGCGCTGGCAGCAAACAGAATAATGCTCCCAGGGGCTATACTGCAGCATCAAGTGACGGCATGAGTCGCTGAACACAGTCATTAGTTTATTTACATGGTGAAGCAAGCCAGAGTCTTCTTCCCTGCAGCACAAGGAAAATGCCTGTTACAAAAAAATAAAAAAAAAATCCTCTTTTCAAATTACAATTACACCACTAATACTAATACAGTATTGTACGCTAATAACCTGCAAGTAGGAGAATGAAACTCATGACGATGTTTCGGTCGTTAACTAGCCACACACGGACCATTAACTAGCCTACGTCTTAATTCTTTATAACTAGCCATATTCAGTCTCCTGTTTGTGGGATATTTGTGTACTGTTCCAGCCATGGTATTATGACTTTACTCTTTTCAATACAGTATGTATTATGACAGTGTTTGTGAATAACCACCTGTTGTATAATACTACAAGTCTTATACACTACTATATATGTAATATATACACTACTGTATAGTATATGAATCTCCTGGTTATCTGTGAATTTAATGTGTTATGCATAAAACAATAAATATTGTATATTTTTAATACACTGGCTATTGCCCCCAAGGGAGGATGACATAAAAGAAACACATTCATCATCATTCATTCAACAGCTGTCTTGCCAGAAGTGTGGACATAATTTGGATGATCCTCCGAATTTTAAGACCCCCACCCATCCTTCAGAGTGTAAGTACTGTACTTCCCACCTCCAGGACTCCAGTCTAGCTAACTGGTTCACGTGAATTCCTACATGAATGTTAGCTTTCTCACACTCCAACAGCACATCAAGTCATAAAAACCACTTGTCTCCACTCACTCTGATAATGCTCGCACAAGCCTTTTAGATGTTCAAGCCCCTAGCACTTAAAGCCTCATTTATCCTCTCCCTCCAACCATTCCTGGAATACCCAATATCCTCCATCCTAGATTTGTACACCTTAGCAACTAATGAGTAAATCATATGTACAACAGTTAGATATTTCTACTGCTGAAATGTTTTGCCTACACAGTAGCCTTCTTCAGTCAAATACAGAGTCAGCAGGTGTAGCAGCAAAGTAAAGATGATGGAATCAGTCCAACCTTGGAGAAAATAGTATTTGAGGTGGTTAGTCCCTCAGCCTGGAGAACAGTTCAGCTCTGTGGTCTGGAATGACCACGCGTCTTACTCATTTTCAACATACCTTAGTAATCCTAATCTGCTCTATCCTCTCTAAATGTCCAAATCACTATAACTCTTCCTCAGCACTTTAAAATATATTTTTGATAACCCAACTCCATCTTCTAATTTCTTCACTCAAAATTCTATTCATAGTCTTGACACCAGACCACACCTCGCCTCCAGACTCCTCACTGCAACATTTAAAACCCAAGCCTGACACCCATAAAACTACTGATACCACTATACCCTGGTATATTCCCCCCTTTTTTTCTTTCCATAGATGCTTAACACACCCTCAACTTCCCCCCTCCTCTTATCTGTTCTGTGGTTCACCTCATCTTTCACAAACCCATCTACCGACAAGCACACTCCCAAATATCTGAATACATTCACTCTCTATCTTATATGTTAATAGCTCTGAGGATCACTATTCTTGTGTGTCAGTCTCACACCAGGTCTGAGGAACTGGAAAGAATATAAATGCTTAGGAAACAGCAATGTACGGATAAATGCATTGTGAATTTAAGTATGATTTACTTGCCATTTTCCATGTTCAAGAGACAAAGAAATGAGCAACAATCCTTCCAGAGTGAAAAGCATTTAACGATCTTCGATCTCACGCCCACATGACAGGATGGGTACAACATGTGAACAATTTCTGACAGAGAAGGCTACTACCAGTAATCCAAAGAATACACAGGATGTATTTCTCTCAGCATAAATGTGAGTCGCAAGTTTATTTTATTCTGTGTCTCGTCTAGTGGTGGACAGATTACATGCACCCTTAATTATCCCATTAACCACTAACCAACTTTAGTAAGAGAAGAACACCATCAATACTAGAGCGAGTGATTATTAAAATAAAATCCTCAGTATTATATAAACCTATTTGGCTCAAGTCATTGCTAAGAGAACACAAAGAACTAGCATCTATCACAAATTCTTCACAGTGTAGAGTTTTATCAAGTGAAAAAACTATGGAACAGGTGGGGTTTGAACCCATGGCAAGCAAGTCCTAAAACTCCATGGTTTGTTTGCAATTGCATTATTACAATTTTGTGTCAAGTGAAGAAACAATGCTTCTTTAACTATGCCTTTATTTACTACAAGTGATAATGTGTGAGTGTGGTGAAAGTGTTGAATGATGATGAAAGTATTTTCTTTTTGGGGATTTTCTTTCTTTTTTTTTGGGTCACCCTGCCTCGGTGGGTCACCCTGCCTCGGTGGGTCACCCTGCCTCGGTGGGAGACGACCGACTTGTTGGGGGAAAAAAAAAAAAAAAAAAAAAAAAAAAACATGTACATGGTATACAGACCATAGTTGACATCAATGACATACTACTATATAGAAAGCCCCTTGTTATGCAGAGCATTTCCCGCAAATTAGGTCAGTTTTGTCCCAGGATGCGACCCACACCAGTCCACTAACTCCTAGGTACCCATTTGACTGATGGGTGAACAGGGACAGCAGGTAGCTTATGGAAACATGTCCCTAATGTTTTCCAGCCATACCAGAGGAGATTCGAACTGCAGACCTCTGTGTGTGAGTTGAGTGCACTAGGATCGAGCTATGGGCCATGTATCGAGAGTACATTACCTGGATATGAAAATGATCATGTTCTACTGTTCTATTTTGATTATAATAATAATAATCTACTGTTCCACTACATAATGTACATGTTGCAAGGTATAACTTGAGTACCGAGTATTTTTTCCCAAAAATAAGACTCATAAATTTACCCAGTGTCTTAGAGGCTGAAGTACCATTAATCTTTTTTTTCCAAAATTTAGCCAATCAGAACTGGGGAGACCTCTTCAACATTGGAACATCTTGTTTGCCACAAAATACGGTAATTCCCATTTATGGTGTAAGGACTATACAGTAAACTAGGGACGGGACACCAGCAAAATTTTTACTGATACCGATACTATCATAATTATCCAGTACTTATTTTTTTTTTTTTTTTTTTTCAACAAGTCGGTCGTCTCCCACCGAGGCAGGGTGACCCAAAAAAGAAAGAAAATCCCCAAAAAGAAAATACTTTCATCATCATTCAACACTTTCACCACACTCACACATTATCACTGCTTTTGCAGAGGTGCTCAGAAATACAACAGTTTAGAAGCATATACGTATAAAGATACACAACATATCCCTCCAAACTGCCAATATTGATACAGATATTTTTGTACATCCCAACAGTAAATGCTCAATATAACAGACTAATTGGGAGGACTGACCAAGTGTGAGTTACTGTATTTTCTGGATTATAAGGTGCACGATCATTTTCGACAATCTTTCTAAGCAGCTGTAACATAACATTAGTAAACAACTGCTAAAGTGTAACCCAAAGTCTACTCTTGACCCGGACCTTGAGCATGTAAGATGAAGGCTGATTTTTCAAGACTTTTTGTGAGTAAAAAAGCAAGTCTTATATGCAGATGATATTACGATAGAATGTACATTACACTCATTTAACTGTACACAATTTAAATAAATTTTTTTTTCAAACCAACAGGCTGATCCCACCCAAAGCGGTCCCTACAAGACTAAACAAGTTTATTTAATATAGTAATTTATACAGGGAAAGTTTTACTAGCCCTGCTCTGGCATATAATCGCCTTTACACACAACGCTTCCGGAGACAAACTTCTTTCATTCCCGGAATTAAGGAAATTTATTTTAACAACCAATAGTAGAGAATAGCAAGAAAACCCAGAGGGGTGCAAAAAGAAAACCCAAGGTTAACCGATTATTTTTTCACTTCCATAAGTACGGTTCAGGTGCCAGTAGCCCGAATTGTTCCCATAAGGCAAATTGTGAAGTGATTAGTCCATTCGACCCCCAACATACACGTAAAAACGCCGCTTACCTAAATACAGTTACATAAATTGAGAACATCGGAGGTAATGTAATGCGAGGGGTCAACCTATAAGGTTGCACATTATGTCGTTATGTTGTTAGTGTAAGTAGCAGTAATAAGATATACCTGTTACCTTACGTGTAAAGCCAAGCAGTGTGGCTTGTTTTTAATTGGGTACTTGGGTTCTCTGGTCTAGGATTAAGATGTCACAAACAACCAACTAACTCCTAGGGATCTATTTACTGCTAGGTGAAGAGGGGCAGCAGGCATATGCGATAGCCCATGCATATCACCTTTGAAATGAACTCTGGTACTTTTGATCAAGCCTAATGTTCTATGACACAAATTACCTTGTGGTGTAAAACTGACAACACTGAAAAAATAAAACTTTCAAACTACTTCTTCACATCTTCCACCATCTTCAACAGATTCATCAAGGCTTAGGACTGATAACCTATTACACCACGTCTTTCGCAGTCCTTAATATTAATAAAGCCACTATTTTGCATTTGTGTCTTATTCACCCATTTCTTGCCTTTGTTCACCATAAATGTATAATAAAACCCTTCTATATTTTATCAACAGATCTTACCAAGATATGGGGTTGGTGCAGAGTTCCTCAGGAGTGGTGAGTGTGCGAGTCGGGTGAGTGCACACATCACACACTTTGCTTTGCTGATCTCCTGTTGTAGTTCCCGCCTCACTAGAAGGCTCGCTGCCACAACATGTCTCGTCTAGTTGGAGTACCATTGTATAGTTAATAACATTTTGTAAATGACTATCACAGTCAAAAGATAGGAAGAGGAGAGGAAGAAGAGGACAGGAAGAAGAGAGGAAGAAGAGAGGAAGAGAAGGACAGGAAGAGGACAGGAAGAAGAGGACAGGAAGAAGAAGAGAGGAAGAGAAGGACAGGAAGAAGAAAGGGAGACAGGAAGATAGGTTCTCTTATAAACCTCCTCAGATAGTGTGATTTTTTTTTTCAGGGGGAGGGGGGGGATACAGTAAATGAAGTGCACATTGTGAGAAGACCTTTCAATATGCCATTCAATTTTCGATGCAGTTTTTCAATCACATTCACAAAAAACTGCAAAATACTGAGGAGTTTTATGAGGTAAATGTGCATCAAATGACTGGAAAGTAGGTACGAGGCAGGAGATTAAAAGCACACTTTGAATTATGAACCCACTCAGTGATCCCAAGTAAAACAAATTAAATGAAAACATAAGAACTTGAGGTGATGTTAGAGTGTGAGCAAAATAACATCTATGAAGGGATACAGAGAAGCCAGTTAGCTGGAATCGAGTCCTGGAGGTGGGAAGTACAGTGCCTGCACTCTGAAGGATGGGCGAGACATGCTGCAAATAACGGTAGTATAGGCACCTCTCTGGCAAGACAGTGATGAAGCGAATGATAATGAAAGTGTTTCTTCTTTTTGTTTGGGTCGCCCTGCCTCGGTGGAAGATGGCCAGTTTGTTGAAAAAAACATTCTTGGGAAGCGCTGAACCTGCGGGGGGTCACACAGTGTCTAGGTGGACTAGGAACCGTTCAGGTGTGACTCAAAGAAGGGAAGCGCAGGTTCAGTTCCTTAGATTAAGAGCCCTCACCAGCACTGACTCTTATGGATTTAGAACTTCCCCATACATACTGTATCAATGCACCACACACAAACAAGCAGAGGTATATACAAAGAAAGATCACATAAGGAACTATGCCACTTTCCAAACGTAGGTTCAAATCCTGCTGACTGCAATCTTTCTCTGTATATACTGTACAGATGCTCCTCACTTTTTGATGGTGTGATAGCAATGCATATTCAGTAGATTATTTATTCAGTAACAGTAGTTATTTATTTACTTATTTATCATATTACATTTATATTCGAGTTACGATATTTTCAACTTATGATGGGTTAATCGGAACATAACCCCATTTTAAGTCAAGGAGCACCTGTATGAAATACAGTATACTGTATTAGAACATGTCAAAAACTAACCTTTAGAGTTGAACTGTTGCTTTGACAAGTGCAATATGTGGAGTTGGTTTTGAAGATAACTCCGGCACACTCGTTCTGCTTGCCGAAGCTGAATACGACTCTTCGCTCTCAACGAGCTTAAATAGCGTGCCAAGTTTGACACACGGCTCGACTGGTTACAGTTACTGTAGTCTAGAGAGATTTCCCGCAGCTGTAAATATTTTTAAACAAGGTCAAACAGTTGTTAACCTACTGATAGTACATCTCCATGGGAAAGTGGAGAAGCACCCTCCCTTCCTAAGTCATGTGTGTCATAAGAGGCGACTAAAATGCCAGGAGCAAGGTGCTAGTAACCTCTTCTCCTATATAATTAGTTAAATGTAAAAGGAAAAACTATAATTTTTCTTTTATTTTTAAACATATTGGCCATGTCCCACTGAGGCACAGAGACCTGAAAAAGAAAAAACATTGGTTTTTCATTTTACATTTAGTAATTTATAGAGAAAGGGTTACTGGCCCCTTGCTCCCAGCATTTTAGTCGCCTCTTACTACATGCATGGCTTACAGAGAAAGGATTCTTTTCCACTACCCCCTGGAGATAATTATTATTATTATTATTATTATTATTATTTATAGGTAGTAGGTTGGTAGACAGCAACCACCCAGGGAGGTACTACCGTCCTGCCAAGTGAGTGTAAAACGAAAGCGTGTAATTGTTTTACATGATGGTAGGATTGCTGGTGTCCTTTTTTCTGTCTCATAAACATGCAAGATTTCAGGTACGTCTTGCTACTTCTACTTACACTTAGGTCACACTACACATACATGTACAAGCACATATATACACACCCCTCTGGGTTTTCTGCTATTTTCTTTCTAGTTCTTATTCTTGTTTATTTCCTCTTATCTCCATGGGAAAGTGGAACAGAATTCTTCCTCCATAAGCCATGCGTCTTGTAAGAGGCGACTAAAATGCCGGGGGCAAGGGGTTAGTAATCCTTCTCTTCTATAAATTACTAAATTTAAAAAGAGAAACTTTCGTTTTTCTTTTTGGGCCACCCCGCCTTGATGGGATATGGCTGGTTTGTTGAAAAAAAAAATATTATTATTATTATTATTATTATTATTATTATTATGGTCAAGTGCTCAACCTATAAAGGTCAGATACTGTATAAGTGGTACTTACCACAGTGAAGGGATCATTGACGGTATGGTATGGATTATCTGGGGTGAAGAGGATCAAGGTAGGACCCTTCTGCAACACACTATGAAGTGCCATACTCTTGGTGCCGGGAATATCCACCCATATTGTTGTCTCGTCCACCCACTTGTTTACCCAGTTGCTCATACCTTCACTATTTGATGAAGCTGCGTTTGTGAAAACCTAAAAATGTTGAATCAATTTTAATTCAAACAAAAATGATGATCATTATTATTGATGGAATAAAATACTGATGAGATGATAAATAAGATACCATGCAACTCTTGGTTATACCTGGAGGAGGTTTTGGGGGTCAATGCCCTTGCAGCCTGGTTCATGACCAGGCCCTATGGTGGCTCAGAGCCTGAAGTAAGTTTATTCAGGTACAGGTATACATACAGTTATGTATATAAATTATCATACATAGCAGCATATGTGTAGATTACCTAGGATAAACCCAAAAAATAAGTCAATGACTTATTTCCACTGGGGTTCTTGTATTTCCACTGGGGTCCTTGTATTACTACTGGAGTCATTGTATTTCCACTGGGGTCATTGTATTTCCACTGGGGTCATTGTATTTCCACTGGGGTCATTGTATTTCCACTGGGGTCATTGTATTTCCACTGGGGTCATTGTATTTCACCTGGGGTCATTGTATTTCACTGGGGTCATTGTATTTACACTGGGGTCATTGTATTTACACTGGGGTCCTTGTATTTCCACTGGAGTCATTGTATTTCCACTGGGGTCATTGTATTTCCACTGGGGTCCTTGTATCTCCACTGGGGTCTTATCAACCAGGCTGTTACTACTGGCCACTGGGTGCCATCATTACTCACAAAATCTTAACACGATTGCAAACAACAGGTGGAGGTCAAACAACACCCGTTCCATGATTTGATGTGGCATCATTATCAAATGTTTTGTCTACACAGCCAGCTTCTTCAGTCAAATACTGGTGAATATAACACCAAAGACAACAGAAATAATGGTTGATAAATTAAACATGAACAACAGTTGGGTATCTTTATTGTGGAAATGTTTCTCCACACAGTGGCTTCATCAGTCCTATACAAAGAAGAATGGTGAATATCAGAAGTTTGAGGTAATCAGTCCCTCAGCCTGAAATCAATGTAATCAGTCACAAATCAAGATTAAAGGACTGATTACACTGACTCCAGCTGAGGGACTGATTACCTCAAACTTCCAATCTTCAACTATTCTTCTTTGTACTTGACTGATGAAGTCGCTGTGTGGCACAATTCTTCCAGAATAAAAATACCCAAGTGTTGCACATGTCAGTTCTCTAAATCGTTTATTTACATAAATAATAGTTATGAAGCGGTCAGTCCCTCAGCCTTGATATGTGGTGGTCAGATAAAATTTTGCTGGGATTTTTAACACTGGAGGGTTAGCCACCCAAGATAACCCAAGAAAGTAGGTGTGTCATTGAGGGACTGTTGTATTTTCATTGTGATCCTCAATCTTGTCCCCCAGGATGCCACCCACACCAGTCCACTAACACCCAGGTACCTATTTGCTTGCTAGATGAACAGGTACAACAGGTGTAAGGAAATACACCGTGTTTCCACCCTTGCCAGGGACTGAACCCACTCGGTGTGTGAGACAAGTGTTGTCAACCAGGCCACGGGCCACCCTCAAAGCTTGAGGGAGCTGACACAATTACATCACATTATTCAACTTCACTATAGCAAACTCATTATACTGGGCTGTTGTACATCTATTAATTTCTTCAAAGAAAGAAGAGATGCCATAAAGACAACAGGAAGTGTTTGTTCACAAACATCAAAGACAAGAACAAGGAATCTAAAAGGGAAAGGTACAAAGGGGGACAACGTTTACAAAAACTTTGGTATACTTTAATAGAAGGGGTTTTCACTAACCAGTAGTTTAATCATCCCATTACAAAGGGAGCTTGTTGGAACACAGTGAGTTTGAGGTAATCAGTCCCTCAGCCTTGAGTTGCTGTAATCAGTCCATCAATCAATAAAGATACCCAAGTGATGCACACGTGTCCAATTTATCAACCTGTCGGTTCTCTGAACCATTTATCTACAAGGAGGAGGTAGAATGTGTTACAATTACTGCAAACTTCAACAACTTAATAAATACAGCCTGGTCTCAGGTAGTGCGAATAATGAATACAGTGGACCCCCGGTATTCGATGCCATCGGTATTCATAAATCCGGTTTTCGATGCATTTTAATGCAAAAATTTTTCCTCGGAAANTATTCGATACGATTCGTACGAGACCTGTCCACGTGTGGCCTGAACTGCTCCGTGTGTGCTAGTGTTTACAAGCCAGCCAGTGTGCGCGCATCTAAGGATACATTCGGTACATTCCATATTATCCACATTATCACTGTGTTTAGTGCTTGTTTCTGCAAAATAAGTCACCATGGGCCCCAAGAAAGCTTCTAGTGCCAACCCTTTGAGGGAAAAAAATCGCTAATGACTTATGAAATGAAGAAAGAGATAATGCAAAGTACGAAAGTGGAGTGCTGTGTCGGAGTGGTCAGGTTGTATAATAAACCCCAATCAACCAGCTCTGCTATAGTGACCAGGAAAACGGCAATCAAGGAAACTTTTTCTTGCAAAAGGTGCAACTGTGATTACGAAACAGCGACCGCAAGTGTTAGAAAATGTTGAGAGATTGTTACTGGTGTGGATAAATGAAAAACAGATAGCAGGAGATAGCATCTCTCAAGCGATCATTTGTGAAAAGGCTAGGCAGTTGCATGACGATTTGGTAAAGAAATTGCCTGCAACTAGTGGTGATGTGAGTGAATTTAAGGCCAGCAAAGGTTGGTTTGAAAGATTTAAGAATCGTAGTGGCATACATAGTGTGATTAGGCATAAGGCTGCCAGTTATGTTGTGCGACAGAAGTCCAGTGACTCTCAAGCTGCTCCTAGTGGCATTAAAAGAAGAAGGGAAGTAACCCCGGAAAAGGACTTGCTACCTCAAGTCCTAATGGAAGGGGATTCCCCTTCTAAACACTAACACCTCTCCCCTCCTCCCATCCCATCAATCATCACCAGATCTTCATTAAAGGTAAGTGTCAATTATTTTATTGTTATTGTAATTATTCTATTGCATTAAACTTAATATTTAATGTAGTAAAATTTTTTTTTTTTTTATACTTTTGGGTGTCTTGCACGGATTAATTTGATTTCCATTATTTCTTATGAGGAAAATTGATTCGGTTTTCGATATTATCGGTATTCAACGAGCTCTCAGGAACGGATTAATATCGAATACTGGGGGTCCACTGTACAACGGAGTGGTCGCATTATTCAAATTACAGTAAGTCCTCAACTTACAAACACGTTGGGGACCTTCTGTATTGTGTATAATATAATAATGATATACACAATGATATAATGATATTATACACAAAACAGAAGATTCTCAACGTGTTCAGAAGTTCAGGACTTACTTCATGAGCAATTTTTGTGCATTAATTTTGCACTAAATCGAGATCTAGCTGTACTGAAGGCGGCGCACCAAATACTTGCCTCAACTTTGGTAACTACACATTGGTAATATTATATAATGAGGAATACATTGTAGCAACACAAGGTTCCTCTTCTAAGTGGAGGCTTTTAGTGACCTCTTCTAAGTGGAAGTTTATAGTACCCTCTCCAAAGAGCAGATTCAGTGCTCTCAGCTTTTTTCATAAGATTTCTGATATATGAGATCAACTTACATTTTTTTTTTTAAATGGGCATACTTTGCCAACACAAAAATCAGACAATTGTGCATCTGCCTCTTTAAAATAACTCAGTGCTGTATGTCTATGACAACACAAGAGTCAGTAAGACTTATCATCACCTGTACATCACCAGTCTTTAAAGGACTTACAAAGTAGTGTTCCACAGGTGTGATGTGTTGCAGAACTTACCAAAGTAGTGTTCCACAGGTGTGATGTGTTGCAGTACTTACCAAAGTAGTATTCCACAGGTGTGATGTGTTGCAGAACTTACCAAAGTAGTGTTCCACAGGTGTGATGTGTTGCAGAACTTACCAAAGTGGTGTTCCACAGGTGTGATGTGTTGCAGAACTTACCAAAGTGTGTTCCACAACACTAGATGAACAGATCTTGTTTCATTGAAAGAGAGAGCTGTGGCAACTTTATGATTGGTAACAACCCCCCATGCAATCGCACTGGTCTTGTGATGTTGCAAGGAACGCAGAGATGCCAGATAATAAGAGATGAAGCCGCGTGGCAACTGTTTCACTGTCGAAAAATCGTAGTAGCCCAACACTACAGCCTGAAATAAAAACAGCCTAAGCAAGATACAATTCATTACTTTCAGGAGATGTGCTAGGCCTATAAATGTTATATAGTGCCTGAGGGATGGGAGGTGATGAGGCTTGATCTAAGGAAGGGAACGGTAGCTTTAATTCCTTGAAAGTGATCCAGGTAGTAGCCCCAGTCCCTAGTTAGTAGTTACCCCAGTCCCTAGTTAGTAGTTACCCCAGTCCCTAGTTAGTAGTTACCCCAGTCCCTAGTTAACAGTAACCCGTGTCCCTGGTTAGTAATAACTCTGGTCTTGAGTTTGTCCAATGTGATTGAAAGAATTTTCTATAAACCTAAAAACAAGAGGGTTAAAATTTATAATATTATCTCTTTCATTGTTTTCCATTTTACTGTCTCCATAGAGAGTTACAATAAACACTTAATATAACAAACTAATAAAGGGATTCCCAGACTTACCATTAAATCAGAAAAGGCATCAAAGTGCTCTACTGTACAACTAAGATTGTGTACACACAACTAACAGATGGATTGCAATAACTTATGAAAACAGAGGATTTAAAAATACAATTTACTGTATGGTTTTTATCTGTTACCTCAAAAGTTTCTTATATAAAGGGTTTACTGTATCTGTGCTATGTTAACCTTACCAGGTTGATCTAATTTGATGAAGGTCACTGTATGAGCAAAACACTGTCAATAAAGGTCACATATAACTACCTAAGTCTCTCCTTACTGCTAAAACACTTTCATACAGACATACCTTCTTAATACAGCACTCACTTTAAAGCGCTTTGCTAGTAAGGCGCTGTTCAATTATTATTATTTTTTAACATGCTGCCCATGTCCCACTAAGGCAGGGTGACCCAAAAAAGAAATAATTTCACCATCATTCACACTATCACTGTCTCTGCAGAGGCACACAGGTTATATGCACGTTTATTATTTTCAATGCTTGCCTTGTTCTTGATGTTTTTTGGAAATTTTCAATTATTTTTTATTTTATTGGTACTTTTGCATCATTTTTCAGACCTAATGCTATTGCATGCTTAATATATAATAGTGGAAACATATTTGTGGACTTTTATATGCACTGGCAAGTTAAAAAATGGCTGTGATTTGCTTTAAGGTGATATTGGCTCAACAGCAGCAGTCTGGAGCTCAACCCGCCATATTAGTGAGATATACCCGTACTTACCATTCTTTTAACCTGTATTATTCCTGTACTTGTCTATCATTCCTTCATCGCATGTGCCTAGCTTCATCCTTAATTAACATATCTCTAATTATAATCATAATTTAGTTTTAAGGTTGTCCAAAATGTTTTGCATAACAAGGAGCTTTCAATATAGTAGTAATATATGTCAATCATTATAGGTAGTAGGCTGGTAGACAGCAACCACCCAGGAAGGTACTACCATCCTGCAAGTGAGTGTAAAACGAAAGCCTGTAATTGTTTTACATGATGGTAGGATTGCTGGTGTCCTTTTTTCTGTCTCATGAACATGCAAGATATCAGGTATGTCTTGCTACTTCTACTTACACTTAGGTCATACTACACATACATGTACAAGCACATATATACACACCCCTCTGGGTTTTCTTCTATTTTGTTTCTAGTTTTATTCTTGTTTATTTCCTCTTATCTCCATGGGGAAGTGGAACAGAATTCTTCCTCCGTAAGCCATGCGTGTTGTAAGAGGCGACTAAAATGCCGGAAGCAAGGGGCTAGTAACTTCTTCTCCTGTATTACTAAATGTAAAAGGAGAAACTTTCGTTTTTCCTTTTGGGCCACCCCGCCTCGGTGGGATACGGCCGGTGTGTTGAAAGAATGAATATGTCAATCATCTTAACTGTATAATATACAACATTCCACTCTATAGAAATAAAGTTTGTATGTCAGCCACTCCACAACCTGAAGTCATCAAATTAGTTTGACACTGCTTAAGAAATCCCATTTAACTGAAGATCATTGAATCGGTTCTAAGTACACTTACCATCCGACTTACGGCTGAGTTCGGTTCCGAGAAACCAGTCGTAAGTCGAAATGGTCGTAGGTCGAAATGGTCGTAAGTCGAACTTTACTACTGAATAACAACAAAACATTTTTGTAATGACTATTTTATTGTTTTATTTTGGTATTTCATGTTTTACTTTACTTTTTATGTTGTTAGTACTGTATTTTATACTGTAAGGTTTAGGATAAACACTGTGTACAACACAAATAGTTGTTTATTTCCCAGAAATTTGGCATAAAAAACACGGTCGTAAGTCGGATGGTAGGTGTATTAATATTAACAAGTCAGCCATCACTGATCTAGCATCACTTGGATCTGTAGTGTGCCGGACTAGCGAGTTTGCTGGATTACAGAGTGGGTAGGTTAGAATGCACTTAATTAACCTATCAACAGGTTAATTTCTGCTAAATCTTCCTCATTTTCATCACTGCTTTCTCCTCCACTGGCTTGCTGCTGTGGATTGACAACCATCTACACAATTTCTGAGTCAGTATAATGATGAAATTTGAGTCAGTATAATGGTTTGAGTTAGTATTATGATGAAATTTGAAATTATGCTAGCCGAAATTAGTGCCGGATTACTGATGGAACTGGATAACTGATTGCCAGATTAGTGATGGCTGACCTGTACATAAAATTATACTATTATTCATTTACCTTTCTCACTTTTTTATACATTTAAAAACTCCCATTTAACCTATGTCTAGTTCTTAAGTAGTCTGTAAACATTAAGATTAGTCTGCCTGAAATGCTTCGCATGTTAGTGGCTCTCTTTTGGGCTTAACAATACAGTGGACCCCCGCATAACGATCACCTCCAAATGCGACCAATTATGTAAGTGTATTTATGTAAGTGCGTTTGTACATGTATGTTTGGGGGTCTGAAATTGACTAATCTACTTCACAATATTCCTTATGGGAAGAAATTCGGTCAGTACTGGCACCTGAACATACTACTGGAGTGAAAAAAGTTCGTTAACCGGGGGTCCACTGTATTTTGTGTGTAAACTACGTAACTTGTATACTGCAGAAAGAAGTATGTTATTTGTATTTTTATTTGTACCTCACTTACGTTATGTTCCATCTGGAGTCGAGCAAGATCAGCATGACTGGCAACGTGTGTGAGGGGATGTAACGCTCTCGAGAGGAAGCGGATAATGTGTCCTGCATCCCGCGGTCCTCCGTAGGCTAGAGCCTTTGTCTCTGTGCCAGATACCGATCGTACATGGAGGACTATTGCTGGGTAAGTTCGAATCTTGTATCTGGTCTTACATTCTGAATTCGGATGCCAGCAATTAACTGCGGCGAAGTATATCTGAAATAATTTTACAAATCTGTATCTTAACACATTTCTAAAAATGATATATAGAAGATAGAAATAAATTACTGTATTTGAAAATACAACAAGCCTGGTCTGGGGCTGGGCTGAGGAAGTAGAACTCTGAAAACCCATCAAAGGTATATCAAAGATCTACAACTGAATATGTGGCATCAGGAGACAGAGAAGACATATTAACATCTCAACTTCTCTATTATTATTACATTAAAAAACAAGCATTAAAAACTTATACGAGATGTATAGTGAACTTTGATAAAAATACTTCATAGAATACATATATATAAATGTATATACACATGCACACGGTATTTACTTATTTATTTAGAGAAAAAAATTCTTACATAAAGTATTTTATTAAGATTATATTCAAGGTGAAACATTAAACCAGAAGGGGTCATGTAGAACTTTGGCAATGGGAGGTAATTAGGTTTGATTGAAGGAATGGCAGGGCGACTCAAATTCCAGGCATCAAGAGCCTTTAACTAGGCATCAAGGTACCTTCACCCTTGAAGGGCATGCCTATATAACCTAATCCACATACCCCTTATTAGAGTTGCAGATTTACCTGTTCGTGGTGATATCTGGCTGCCTTCTCCATTTCCCAACGCAGATGCTGTGAGTCCCTGTCCCAGGGAGCATAGTACACAACAAGCGAGAGGTCGGCTCCTAGGAGACGCTCGGTCAGTTTTGCTACATCTCCTGTGTAGAAATCGGAGACAAGAGAGTGGCGAGGGAAGAACGGTTGTGGAGACGACACTTTTCTTGTCAATGGTCCTCTGTGAAGGTTACACAAATGCAAATCATTTATTTTCTGCAGTATAAAGGTAATGTAATTTACATACAATAAAATATTTTTAGGCATAAAAGAAAGCCACTAACATAGGTTATTAAGTAGTTGTTAAGTGTGGAAAAAAAAAGTGAGTAATAGTATAATTTTAACCCTTAAACTGTCCAAATGTAGATCGATACTCGTGTGTAGTACTCCGACCTTATATTTTTTACATTTGAAAGCATATAAAAAAAGTAGATCTACGTTCAGAGCGCTACGCGTGTGAACGTAGATCTACGCTTGGACAGTTTAAGGGTTAAGTATGTATTAATACTTCAAACTGATTCAGTGATCTTCAGTTAAGTGGGACTTCTTCAGCAGTTACAAACTGACTCAATGTCTACAGTTTATGGGACAATTGAAAAAGATGAAGATAGAGAACGTTTGTTTTGGTATGGGTATAATGGAACAAGATAAGTACAGTAATTAACTTTCCATGGGAGTTAGAGGAAGACTGGAAGAACAGGAATAGACTTGGGTGAGCTAGTTATGTTTGGTATACTCAGTTAAAAGCGTTTTTCCCGATTGTAATAGCATTTCTATCCTGTAATTTCATAATGTCTGCCTAGGGCCTGTTTCACATAGACCTTGTTAGGGGTGCCTGGCCCTGAGGTGAGCCCACACCATCAGAGACCTCATTCATTTTCTTGACAACTGCCCTGCGGGCGGCACCTCCTCCCTTCCTTGGTCTTGACCCTCGGCTCACCCTTACTCGACGTCACCTGCTATGAACCACAATAACAACATTCACTAACTTGCTGTGAATCACTAACTTGCTGTGCACCACTAACTTGCTGTGAACCATGAACTTGCTGTGAACCACTAACTTGCTGTGAACCAATAAACTGCTGTGCACCACTAACCTGCTAAGAATTGCTAACCTGCTATGAACCACTAACTTGCTGTGAACCACAATACCAACATACACTAACTTGCTGTGAACCATTAACTTGCTGTGAACCACAACAACATTCATTAACTTTTTGTGCACCACTAACTTGCTGTGCACCACCAACTTGCTGTGCACCACCAACTTGCTGTGCACCACCAACTTGCTGTGCACCACCAACTTGCTGTGCACCACCAACTTGCTGTGCACCACCAACTTGCTGTGCACCACCAACTTGCTGTGCACCACCAACTTGCTGTGCACCACCAACTTGCTGTGCACCACCAACTTGCTGTGCACCACCAACTTGCTGTGCACCACCAACTTGCTGTGCACCACCAACTTGCTGTGCACCACCAACTTGCTGTGCACCACCAACTTGCTGTGCACCACCAACTTGCTGTGCACCACCAACTTGCTGTGCACCACCAACTTGCTGTGCACCACCAACTTGCTGTGCACCACCAACTTGCTGTGCACCACCAACTTGCTGTGCACCACCAACTTGCTGTGCACAACCAACCTGCTGTGCACCACCAACCTGCTGTGCACCACCAACCTGCTGTGAACCACTAACCTGCTGTGAACCACTAACCTGCTGTGAACCACTAACCTGCTGTGAACCACTAACCTGCTGTGAACCACTAACCTGCTGTGAACCACTAACCTGCTGTGAACCACAATAACATTCACTAACCTGTAATGACTAACCTGCTATGAACCACTAACATGCTATGAACCACTAACTTGCTGTGAACCACAAAAACATTCACTATCTTGCCGTGAACCACTAACCTGCTGTGAACCACAATAACTTTCACTAACTTGGTGTGAACCACTAACCTGCTGTGAACCACTAACCTGCTGTGAACCACTAACTTGCTGTGAACCACTAACTTGCTGTGAACCACTAACATGCAGTGAACCACTAACTTGCTGTGAACCACTAACTTGCTGTGAATCACTAACATACAGTGAACTACTAACATGCAGTGAATCACTAACCTGCTATGAACACTAACCTGCTATGAATCACAACAACATTCACTAACCTGCTGTGAACCATGAACCTCCTGTGAACCACAACAATATTCACTAACCTGCTGTGAATCATGAACCTGCTGTGAACCACAGCAACATTCACTGAACCACTAACCTCCTGTGAACCACAAAAACATTCAGTGGACCACTAACCAGCTGTGAACCACAACATTCACTGAACCACTAACCTGCTGTGAACCACAAAAACATTCAGTGGACCACTAACCTGCTGTGAACCACAACAACGTTCAGTGAACAACTAACCTGCTGTGAACCACAAAAACATTCACTAACCTGCTGTGAACCACAAAAACATTCACTAACCTGCTGTGAACCACAAAAACATTCAGTGGACCACTAACCTGTTATGAACCACAACATGCAGTGAACCACTAACCTGCCATGAAACACAACATGCAGTGAACCACTAACCTGCTATGAAGCACAACAACATACAGTGAACCACTAACCTGCCATGAACCACAACATGCAGTGAACCACTAACCTGATATGAACCACAACATAGTGAACCACTAACCTGCTATGAACCACAACAACATACAGTGAACCACTAACCTACCATGAACCACAACATACAGTGAACCACTAACCTACCATGAACCACAACATACAGTGAACCACTAACCTGCCATGAACCACAACATACAGTGAACCACTAACCTGCCATGAACCACAACATACAGTGAACCACTAACCTGCCATGAATCACAACATACAGTGAACCACTAACCTACCATGAACAACATACAGTGAACCACAAACTTACCATGAAACACAACATACAGTGAACCACTAACCTACCATGAACCACAACATACAGTGAACCACTAACCTGCCATGAACCACAACAGTGAACCACTAACCTACCATGAACCACAACATACAGTGAACCACTAACCTGCCATGAACCACAAGAACATGCAGTGAACCATTAACCTACCATGAACCACAACATACAGTGAGCCACTAACCTGCCATGAACCACAACATACAGTGAACCACTAACTTACCACGAACCACAACATAGTGAACCACTAACCTACCATGAACCACAACATACAGTGAACCACTAACCTACCATGAACCACAACAAACAGTGAACCACTAACCTACCATGAACCACAACATACAGTGAACCACTAACCTACCATGAACCACAACAAACAGTAAACCACTAACCTACCATGAACCACAACATACAGTGAACCACTAACCTACCATGAACCACAACAACATACAGTGAACCACTAACCTGCCATGAACCACAACATACAGTGAACCACTAACCTGCCATGAACCACAACATACAGTGAACCACTAACCTACCATGAACCACAACATACAGTGAACCACTAACCTACCATGAACAACAACATACAGTGAACCACTAACCTACCATGAACCACAACATACAGTGAACCACTAACCTACCATGAACCACAACATACAGTGAACCACTAACCTACCATGAACAACAACATACAGTGAACCACTAACCTACCATGAACCACAATATACAGTGAACCACTAACCTACCATGAACCACAACATACAGTGAACCACTAACCTACCATGAACAACATACAGTGAACCACTAACCTACCATGAACCACAACATACAGTGAACCACTAACCTACCATGAACCACAACATACAGTGAACCACTAACCTACCATGAACAACAACATACAGTGAACCACTAACCTACCATGAACCACAACATACAGTGAACCACTAACCTACCATGAACCACAACAACATACAGTGAACCACTAACCTACCATGAACCACAACATACAGTGAACCACTAACCTACCATGAACCACAACATACAGTGAACCACTAACCTACCATGAACCACAACAACATACAGTGAACCACTAACCTACCATGAACCACAACATACAGTGAACCACTAACCTGCTATGAACCACAATAACTACTGCCAGTAAGAAACACAACAACTTGCAAGCCATCATAATCTTGGATCGCAGTATCATGTTGGGAGCGGCAGCAGTGATGACTGCTCTTCTCTGGGCTGCCTGCTGCTCTCTGCTCCCAGCAGAGACCTGCTGCACCTCCTGCTGGTGGTGCGGGTCTACTGGGGGGGTGTCATGGCCTGCAGCACCCTCCTCTGACCCTACATAAGGCATCCCAACACCATTGCTCTCCTCGCTCTCTGATGGAAGATTGTAAACAATGAGTTATAAGTAACACGAGAGGTGAATTTCACGTTAATTAAATAAGAGAGAATCGAAACCTTGTTATCAAAGCCTTTAAATTATCCAAGTTTATTAATCTTAAAGGAATCAGAATGTATTCCCGTGTCCAAGTTATAGATGATAGTAAATAATGAATTATAAGTAACAGAAACCTAACTCTTAAGTCAGGGGATAAAAAAGCATCATAACTATAGTATTGAAATCTCTATAATACCCATTATATAATTTAAGTACTTATTACATCTACGAATTATATTTAAGAAGTGATAAACCCGTAAGGGTCACACTGTGCTTTGAGGGGGGTAACGTAAAGCAATTAGATTCGATTTCAAGGAAAATAATTCAGATTTCCCGGATTAAGAGAACAATCTTAAAAGAATCTGAATGCTTTTCAGAGATAAGATAACTCAAGGAGAAAGTAGTTCGTCCACTTATACACTATCCAATGACCTATCATCCACTGACAAATCAAAAGCAATTCCCTTTATAAACACTTAAGATAATTGCTTCCCTCAACCTCCAGTAATTACCGATTGACAAATATATAAAATCAAAATATTTTCCACTCAGCAAAATAGTTATCTCCCGGTTAAGGAGTCAAATACACCCGCTAGAGTAGTTTATAATGATAACAGCTGCTCACACTATACTGCGCATTAGTATGACCCATACTGATTTAGCGCTTGTTAGTACAATAACACGTATTGTACAATACACTATACCTCCCAAGCGCTGTATGAGCCCCTACAGTATTATAACAGTACTGTATTATATAATAACATCAATATCATACAATACCATCAAGTTGATGTCTCGTATACATGTACGACACACGATTATCATTACTGATGGAAACGTTTCGCCCATTAGTGGCTGTATCTTGCTACAGATGATGTCTTCTGCAACTATCTTGTTGAGCTCTGGTCCACTTCTAGGGCATGACCTACTTCTATTAGTGACTCCTGCCCACTAGTATTAATGTCTGCAGCTGCTGCACCTCTACTCTCACTAAATCCATATGCTTGTTTCAGATTGATCAAGGCTGAGGTACTGACCACCTTCTATCATGACTGAAGACTGACCATCTTCTATCATGACTGAGGTACTGACCACCTATCATGACTGAAGACTGACCACCTTCTATCATGACTGAGGTACTGACCACCTTCTATCATGACTGAGGTACTGACCACCTTCTATCATGACTGAGGTACTGACCACCTTCTATCATGACTGAGGTACTGACCACCTTCTATCATGACTGAGGTACTGACCACCTTCTATCATGACTGAGGTACTGACCACTTTCTATCATGACTGAGGTACTGACCACCTTCTATCAGGGACTGAGGAAACTGACCACCTTCTATCTTTGATTGGGGTTTACTGACCACCTTCTATCATGACTGAGGTACTGACCACCTTCTATCATGACTGAGGTACTGACCACCTTCTATCATGATTGAGGTACTGACCACCTATCATGACTGAGGTACTGACCACCTTCTATCATGACTGAGGTACTGACCACCTTCTATCATGACTGAGGTACTGACCACCTTCTATCAGACTGAGGTGCGACCCCCTATCATGACTGAGGTACTGACCACCTTCTGTCATGACTGAGGTACTGACCACCTTCGTCATGATGAGGTACTGACCACTTCTATCATGACTGAGGTACTTGACCACCTTCTATCATGACTGAGGTATTTTGCCCACCTATCATGACTGAGGTACTGACCACCTTCTATCATGACTGAGGTACTGACCACCTTCTGTCATGATTGAGGTACTGACCACCTTCTATCATGACTGAGGTACTGACCACCTATCATGACTGAGGTACTGACCACCTTCTATCATGACTGAGGTACTGACTACCTTCTGTCATGACTGAGGTACTGACCACCTTTTATCATGACTGGGGTTTAATGACCACCTTCTATCATGACTGAGGTACTGACTACCTTCTATCATGACTGAGGCACTGACCACCTTCTATCATGACTGAGGTACTGACTCCCTTTTCTATCATGACTGAGGTACTGACCACCTTCTATCATGACTGAGTTTACTGACCCCCTTTCTATCATGACTGAGGTACTGACCACCTTTATCATGACTGAGGTATGACCACCTTCTATCATGATGAGGTATGACCACCTTTATCATGACTGAGGTACTGACCACCTTCTATCATGATTGAGGTTTACTGACCACCTTCTATCATGACTGAGGTACTACACCTTTATCATGATGAGGTACTGACCACCTTCTATCATGATTGAGGTACTGACCACCTATCATGACTGAGGTACTGACCACCTTCTATCATGACTGAGGTACTGACCACCTTCTATCATAACTGAGGTACTGACCACCTTCTTCATGACTGAGGTACTGACCACTTCTATCATGATTGAGGTACTGACCACCTTCTATCATGACTGAGGGTACTGACCACCTTTATCATGATTGAGGTACTGCCCACCTTCATGACTGAGGTACTGACCACCTTCTATCATGACTGAGGTATGACCACTTTCTATCATGACTGAGGTATGACCACCTATCATGACTGAGGTACTGACCACCTTCTGTCATGATGAGGTATGACCACCTTCTGTCATGACTGAGGTACTGACCACCTTCTATCATGACTGGGTACTGCCACCTTCTATCATGACTGAGGTATAAACACCTATCATGACTGAGGTACTGACCACCTTCTATCAGACTGAGGTACGACCACCTTCTGTCATGATTGAGGTATGACCCACCTTCATCATGACTTGAGGTATTGACCACCTTCTATCATGACTGAGGTACTGACCACCTTCTATCATGATGATGTACTGACCCCCTTCTATCATGACTGAGGTACTGACCACCTATCATGACTGAGGAAATGACACCTTCTATCATGACTGAGGTACTGACCACCTTCTATCATGACTGAGGTACTGACCACCTATCATGACTGAGGTACTGACCACCTTCTATCATGACTGAGGTACTGACTTCCTTCTATCATGACTGAGGTACTGACCACCTTCTATCATGACTGAGGTACTGACCACCTTCTATCATGACTGAGGTACTGGCCACCTTCTATCATGACTGAGGTACTGACCAACTATCATGACTGAGGCACTGACCACCTATCATGACTGAGGCACTGACCACCTATCATGACTGAGGTACTGACCACCTATCATGACTGAGGGACTGACCCCTATCAGGGACTGAGGCACTGACCACCTATCATGACTGAGGTACTGACCACCTATCATGACTGAGGCACTGACCACCTATCATGACTGAGGTACTGACCACCTATCATGACTGCGGGACTGACCACCTATCATGACTGAGGCACTGACCACCTATCATGACTGAGGGACTGACCACCTATCATGACTGAGGCACTGACCACCTATCATGACTGAGGGACTGACCACCTATCATGACTGAGGCACTGACCACCTATCATGACTGAGGCACTGACCACCTATCATGACTGAGGTACTGACCACCTATCAGATGAGGGACTGACCACCTATCATGACTGAGGTACTGACCCCCTATCGGGACTGCGGACTGACCACCTATCATGACTGAGGCACTGACCACCTATCATGACTGAGGTACTGACCACCTATCATGACTGAGGTACTGACCACCTATCATGACTGCGGGACTGACCACCTATCATGACTGAGGCACTGACCACCTATCATGACTGAGGCACTGACCACTATCATGACTGAGGCACTGACCACCTATCATGGCTGAGGTACTGACCACCTATCATGACTGAGGCACTGACCACCTATCATGACTGAGGCACTGACCACCTATCATGACTGAGGGACTGACCACCTATCATGACTGAGGGACTGACCACCTATCATGACTGAGGGACTGACCACCTATCATGACTGAGGCACTGACCACCTATCATGACTGAGGGACTGACCACCTATCATGACTGAGGCACTGACCACCAAACAGTATGACTAATACCCAAGATGCCACCCACACCGGTCCACTAACTTGCAGGTCCAGTAAATATAAGGAAATTATACCAGCCTTACCTCCCGCCCAGGAATCGAACCCAGTCCATTCAGTTGTGACCCTCTGCTACCAGAAGATCCACATACCGTTACCTACAGATGTAACCTATCTCCCTAATTATGTATAACGAGGGAACTAGGTAATTTACGTCAGGCAGACGAAATTCGAAGCAATTTCCGTACATTGTGTATTGGAACAGTAATTTAGGGTTCTATTTTGAACAGCCAGTTCCCACGCATTTCCGGTCACTTGCCTTCAAAATGGCGGTGGAGAGGGGAGGGTCGTCCCCCTAGTAAAGGCTCTTCATCCAAGGAACAGGAGATATCTGCATGTTCCTCATATCAAACCAACTGACCTCGTGCTTCATCAGAAATAAATAATAATGATAATAATAATAACAGCAATGATAATCATAATAATAATAATAATGATAATAATAATAACAGCAATGATAATCATAATAATAATAATAATGATAATAATAATAACAGCAATGATAATCATAATAATAATAATAATAATGGTCAACAATGCTCACTTTATCACGATGAAGCTCTACACAGAGTGAAACATAAAGCTCTACACAGTGTGAAACATAAAGCTCTACACAGAGTGAAACATAAAGCTCTACACAGAGTGAAACATAAAGCTCTACACAGAGTGAAACATAAAGCTCTACACAGAGTGAAACAAAGTTCTACACAGAGTGAAACATAAAGCTCTACACAGAGTGAAACATAAAGCTCTACACAGAGTGAAACATAAAGCTCTACACAGAGTGAAACATAAAGCTCTACACAGAGTGAAACATAAAGCTCTACAGTGTGAAACATAAAGCTCTACACATAGTGAAACATAAAGCTCTACACAGATGAAACATAAAGCTCTACACAGAGTGAAACATA